GAGACTTTTATGGGGGTGGAATAGTACTAGATCTTCCCAGGAGTGGTGATTCTGCACAACTACACATGTGACAAAATGAAAGGAAAGTATACACACATAGTACCAATGCCGATTTTCTTGTTTCGATACTGTCCTATAGTTACAGAAGACATCGATATTAAGGAAGACCATGTTAAGGATGCATGGGACTTCTCTGTACTCTTTGTAACTTCCTGTGGATCTGTAATTATTTCAAAATAAAAATTTTCACAAATAAAGTTTGATGAAGAATAGGATATACAGATAGCTTCAAAACACCTTCACACAAAACACAGATTACAAAGGAGAAAAGCTAAACTTTAAAGTAGAGAGGCCTGGCAGTCATCCCATTAAGCAAATGATTGAAGTGAATATCCTTAGTAATAGAACAAATCAAAATGTACCCCCCATCCAATAGGATGCAAGGAGTAGAAAACAGCAGCACTTCTGTGATATTTCTGCCAAAGATTCATGTCTGAATCTAACTCAGGAGGAAATAGACAAACCCAAATCCAACATTCTACAAAACAACTGGCCTATAATCTTCAAATGTGTCAAGGTCACAAAAGTCATGGAAAGACCAATAAAGTGTTCCAGACAGCGGGAGGCTAAAAACATATGACAGCTGAATGCAACTCATGATTCTCAGCTGGTATTTCTGCTAGAAAAGACTTTGACTGTTGGTGAAAACCTGAATCGAGCCTGAGGATTTTGTGGCAGTAATGTCACAACATTGACTTCCTGATTTTGACAGCCACACTGTGGTCTACAAGAGAATGTCCCCATTTATAGGAAATGCACACTAATTAGGGGTGATGGGGTATCAAGCTGGCAACTTACTCTCAAATGGGTCAGGAAAAAAGTTATTTGTACTCTACCTGCAACCCTTCTGTAAGTTGTTTCAGAATAAATCCTTTTATGTTAACAATAAATGATTTAGATGTCAAAGAATGAGAAACTCTTCACAAAACTGATGAAATCCTAGAACATTTCTGCAAAAAATGGCACTCTTTACTTTCAGGCTTGGGAACTCACACTTGGCAGAGGGTACGTGCATATCCAAAAAATCTCAGAAACAGGATTCTTTGTTCATTCTAAGAATTAGCACAGTCTTCAATTTAAACTGCATTAGCTAAAAGACTGAAATGTATGTACCTCCCTTTTTTAAAAGAAGTTCCAGTTAGAACTTTGTGTCTTACCAGAAAATGTTAGTCCCCAACTTTAAATCTACTTACTATAAATGGCCTATTTCCAGAATCAATAATCCTTAGAAGACAAGGACATCCTGTACAACCTTGCTGCTGGTGATTTCAAGCGTAAGCCTACTCTCTTTCCATTCAGGTTCTAGTCCCAGACAAGCCCAAAAGGACTGGCAGAAAGGTGCAGCCAGGCATCTCACCATGAGAATGACATGGTAATACCTACCTGCTAAAAACCAGTGAGGATTAAATGCAAGTAAAAGTCTTGCCTTAATACACAGAACATATTGAAACTAACATTACTATTATTAACAGAGAGCACATTCAAGGTTCAGCTCAGGTGATATCTTCATCCTTATCTCGTTCTCAGGCAATCCCTGTCAGCTCGTGTAGTAGCCTTGGGGATTTTGTTGCCTAAGGGTTGACTGGCAAGGGAAGGTTTGATTTATAGGTCAAGTGGCCAGAATATGAAAATCTAAAACTGAACATGTAAGGAAGTAGAATCCTTAGAAAACAGTAATCAAGTCAGAAATCAACAAAACAAAGAGGCAACCCACAGAATGGGAAAAGATATTTGCAAATGTCACTACAAAGGGCTGATATCCAAGATCTGTAAAGAACTTCTCAAACTCGACACCCAAAAAAACAAATAATCAAGTCAAAAAATAGGCAGAAGACATGAGCAGACACTTCTCCAAAGAAGACACACAAATGGCTAACAGACGCATGAAAAAGTGTTCATCATCATTAGCCATCAGGGAATTTCATTTCAAAACCACAATGAGATACCACCTTATGCCAGTTAGAATGGCAAAAATCAACAAGACAAGAAACAACAAATATTGGAGAAACTGTGGAGAAAGGAGAAACCCTCTTACACTGTTGGTGGGAATGCACATTGGTGCAGCCACTTTGGAAAACAGTTTGGAGATTCCTCAAAAAATTAAAAATAGAGCTACACTATGACCCAGCAATTGTACTATGGGGTATTTGCCCCAAAGATACAGATGCAGTGAAAAAAGGGCCATATGCACCCTCGATATTCATAGCAGCAATATCCACAATAGCCAAACTGTGGAAGGAGCCAAGATGCCCTTCAGCAGATGAATGGATAAAGAAGATGTGGTCCACATACACAATGGAATATTACTCAGCCATCAGAAAGGATGAATACCCAAATTTTGCATCAACATGCACAGGACTGGAGGAGATTATGCTGAGTGCAATAAGTCAAAGAGGGGCACCTGGGTGGCTCAGTGGGTTAAAGCCTCTGCCTTTGGCTCAGGTCATGATCCCAGGGTCCTGGGATTGAGCCCCTCATCAGGCTCTCTGCTCAGCAGGGAGCCTGCTTCCCTTCCTCTCTCTCTCTGCCTGCTTCTCTGCCTACTTGTGATCTCTGTTAGATAAATAAATAAAATCTTTTAAAAAAAAGAAGTCAAAGAGAGAAAGTCAACTATCATATGGCTTCACTTATTTGTGGAACATAAGGAATAGCATGGAGGAATTAGGAGAAGAGGAAAATGAAGGGGGAGAAATCAGTGTGGGAGATAAACCATGAGAGACTATGGACTCCGGGAAACAAACTGAGGGTTTTAGAAGGGAGTGGGGTGGGGATGGGTGAGCCTGGGTTCACCATGGGTGAAGCCATGGATGATGGCTATTAAGGAGGACATGGATTGTATGGAGCACTGGATATTATACACAAACAATGAATCATGGAGCACTTCATCAAAAACAAATGAGGTACTGTATGGTGACTAACATAATAAAAAAATAACTATTAAACTAAAATGGTCTAATTTTTAAAACTCATTTATTTTTGGTTTGTAAATTTAGGAATTCCTTATATGTGAGACCCTAAAATTGTGAAAATATTTTTAAAACAAAGTATGAAATTTGATAGTATGCATATTTGACTTAAGATAAGACAAAAGTAATTTTGGTTTAGGTCTATGTAATAAATCAGCCCTTCTTTTCTGGTATTCTGGTATAATTCATCTATGTGAATCACAATCTTGTTTAGTAACTTGGTTTCATTTTTTACTCTGGTTTGAATACTATAGCTTAATGATATCTTCAAATTTTATTTTGTCACCACAAAAATGTTTTGAATAAGAAATATAAATTAAAAATTATAAATAATGCAAAAAAAAAAAAAAAAGAAAGAAAGAAAAAGAAATGGCAGTCAAGGCCAGCCAATCACGAGGAAGCCTGTAAGACCTCAAACCAGAATAGAGTATTATTAAGGGCCAAGTGGATAAACTCAGAGCACAGACAGAGCTAGGATGCCTGTAGCTTATTGTTGATTGCTCACTAATCAATATTGATTACCCATGATGAGCCAAGCAGATTGAATAACATATGTCCAAGTGAACACTGACAGGCCAAACACTGCACCAGACACCTCACTGACAGGATTCCATTTAAGCCTCACAATTTCCTGATGGACAAGGTAGGTACAATTATCATTTCTATTCCACAGATGGAAAAGCTGAGGATTAGAGATTCAGTAGCTCACTCAAGGATGCACAACTAGCAAGGGTTAAAACCAGCATTTGAACCCCCATGTTTGGTCTCTAGAACCTGCATTCGGCTGCTGTTCTAAAGTGCCTCCCACCACCAACCGTCACTTGTGACTCCACAGCTCCCATTGTCCTGTACATCGCACTATGCAGCTTGTTTATCACAGTATGCTTGGCTCCAGTTCCTACAAGCCGTTGTTTCTATAGCAGTTGTGCTGGAGAATGGACCAAGGGGTCTCATCAGAGTGATAATGAGACACAGCAAGGGCCAACAGTCTACTTTGTGGACTTGGAGAGGCAGGCTGAGCCTTGTATCTAGCAGCTTTATTAGTGTGGCAAAGAAACAAGAGCTATTATAATAAACTCTTGTTTGTACTTAGAAAATGCACCTTCCTACAGGAAACAATTGAGGGTTGCTGGAGGGGAGGGGGTTGGGGCATGGGATAACTGGATGATGGGCATGAAGGAGGGCATGGGATGGAAGGAGCACTAGTGTTGTATGCAACTGATGAATCACTGAACTCTACCCTGAAACTAATAATAAACTGTATGTTAATTAATTGAATTTAAATTAAAAAAAAAAAAAAAGAAAAGAAAATGCTGCCTTCCCACAAGGCTAACCAAAAAATATGTGTGCATGCATATGTGGGGTCACCATGGATCTTTATGTATGGCAAGCTATTTCTTTTTCTGGAGACCTCAGAGTTAGAAAGACTTTAAGATTTTATTTATTTATTTGTCAGAAGGAGAGAGAGAGAACAAGCAGGCCGAGTGGCAGGCAGAGGCAGAGAGAGAGAAGCAAGCTCCCCACTGATAAAGAAGCCCAACATGGGACTCGAACCCAGGGCCCTGGGATCATGACCTGAGCCGAAGGCAGTGGCTTAACCGACTGAGCCACCCAGATGTCCCTAGAAAACCTTTTGATGAATTAATTAGGGTCATAAAAATGTAAACTTATGTCTGTACTAGATAACTTTTCAGGGGCTGACTTCTCCTTGAGTTGCTTACCAATTAACTGGAAACATAATAATAGATTTTCCAAACTAACAAACTCTACTTTTCCCATCTAGGTACTTTCACAAAATGATCTTATTTCAAGCATCTTTTAGCCTGGAAAATTCCAAACGCCTCAAGGAAAATGTTTTGGGTTTTTTTACATCAATGTGGCTATTTAAGAAGAAACACTTTACCAGACTCCTGGTTGGGGAGATAACTCCAGTCGTAGACATCACACTCTGGCGACAAGTATATGCTGACTCACCACTGCCACCATCTGCCCAGGGCCTTTCCTCCTCATTCTTCAAGCCCACAGTACAGCTGGCATGCTGGGTGATGTTTCTGGATAGGTCTCCAGCCAAGGATATAGGTGCCTCAGAAGGATTGTTCCTATAGGTCTGGCGATCCGGATTCTGTCTCTAGAAATCATATTTATTTGTCAAACAGTATAATAGTACAGTCATATTTTGAAGATCTAAGTCAATATATTTTAAAATTTTAATCAATGTATTTTCATTTAAGTGATAACGGCAATCTAAAGTTATTATAGATGAAAAGAAAAGAAAACTCAATAGACTGTATTTATTTTTTTCTACAACCTTAAAATGTTGTGCAATTGGCAACTGCATTAAAAAGATTATCCCATGGAACAGATACTGTAGTTTATAATAAATGCAGCACAAAGCACTTCTGTCACCTATACAAGGAAAAACTAAGGCAGCCACCGGCCCATGTGCAAACACTGTGGTCAGGCCCCAGCCCAAACATCCAATTGGCTAACAGGATAATCCATTCCCACCATTGCAGAATGTATCCCCTCAGAAGTCACCCTTGCAGGATAAGTGGACAAGGAAAAAAAGTTGAAAGTACCATTCTATACCTGGCCACTCCTGCCCTAAGTTTCTAGAATAATTGTGTTTCTCTACTCTCTAGTATCTGTCCTTCTCTTCTGTCCCTAAACACAATCACATCACTACATAGAAGAGACTTCCACTAACCTAACCATTTCTTCCCTCCTTTTGATCCTTCTTTTCTGTCTCAGATCTCCAGGTTTAATGGACTTGAAATTTGCCATTGTGCTCTGCCTGGACTTCACTAACCTACACTCAACCCCCTATAAGCAGAATTCCAGCCCATTACTATTCCATGTCTCACGGGCTGGGCCTCTCTGTAGCTTCTTGCACTACTTCCTACACTCAGATTCCCAAGATTCTCCCCTGCTTGACCTTAGGTTCTAGCTTTCCTCTCCACCTGCCTGCTACCTTCTCCTGTCTGATTCTCCTCCTCCATCTTGTCAATGGTGTCCCTGAGGGCTCATTTCTAAGGCCTTTCTCTCTTTGTGTCTTCCCTCCTTTGATGACTGATCCACTTACAGGTCTTCAAGGCTTGCCTGACCATACATCCAGCCCGTATAACTAGCCCACAGCTTCCACCACCTAATGGGCCTTTCTGAGCTCTGCACCCCGATAATGGTGGTGACAACTATGTGCTTCACGGTTTGCAAAGCAGGTTCAATTATTTCATCCCACCAAAGGGTTGCAAATCCCATGAGACTGGCATCACAACCACTGCTGAGCATACCACCAGAGTGGTCTCACAGGGAGGGCCTCTCCAAGAGAAATGCCTCTTCCTTTCTGAGTCCAGTTCGATGGAAAACCACCACTACAGAGTGGAAGCCTCTTCTCCATCCCTAGCTATCAATGTTCTATTAAAGATTTAGCAGTCAGGAGCCAGATGCCCTGAACAGTGACAGGAGGTAAGTATAGACCTCAACCAGGAACTTGGCTCCAAAGCTCACACAGATCTGGATTCAAACCCCAGGCCGGACATTTCTTAGCTATGTGGCCTTTCCTTGTATTTTGGTTTCCTCCTCTATAAAACATGGATCATAATTAATTCCCAGAATTGTTATAAACAACTGAAACATATAAACTGCCTGGCAATGGAAAGGGCTCAATAAATGGTAGATACTGCTCTTAATTCTTAAGGCTTTACCTCAGAGTCTTTGGCTGCTTCCAAAACATCACTGAGAACTTGTATGTACTCCGTTGCACCTTTAAGGATATCAACTTTGCTAGGCTTCCTGCTTTGGGGAAGAAATGGCACAAGTGTCTTCAGTTTGGCAAAACCACGGTTGAGATTTTTTATCTGGAAAACAAACAAACAAAAGCAAAGTGACATACAGAGAAGCTAACTTGTACAGCCATCCCCAGCCCCAAAACCACAGAAGAGGGCTGTGAGGGCTTGTTTGCACAGCTCTTGTCTGGGTGGTGAACCAAAGCACATGCCAGAATCACCACTCCACCAGCAGTGCCGTTGCTGGCACTAGAGGAAGGGCTGGTGTAAACTCAGCACTTTGGGTGAATGGGCTGGAAGGGAAGGGGGTCGGTATTCCTGCTGAACCCCTCCTCTTCCTCCAATAGCATACCTACTGCAATGTTCAGGCAGTGGGGAAATGGCTAGAACTCAAAGTCAAAACATCAGGATTTGAAAACCAGCTCCTCCATGTAGGATACTTCATATCACCAAGCTATGGTTTACTGCAAAATGGAAAATACCCACCTTGTAAGCTTTTTTGTGGTGATTAATATAATCACACATAAGACACTTCTTCCTGACTTGGCCCAAAGAAAGACCTAAGTGGTACTGATAATGAATAAAATGTGCAAATACTTGTCTACTCAAGCACCATGCCATCAACTCTTTCACCTCTTTCCCAGCCTAACGGAGTAAAGAGTTAGAGTCTAGAGAATCTGCATGTTGGTAAGATTTGAAAGGCAGAATAAGGTTATTTATCTTTGTGTTTATAAGTCTCTAGGATCTAATCCTTCAGTTCTGAAGGCTTGGAACGCTGACGACCATCCCCCAAAGGGAACTGGCCTTGGAAAAACTGGCTTCCACTACACCATAAAGCCAATATACTCATATTGAGGGCCCTCTCCCACTCCAGATCAAAGTGAATAATGGACACAGTCATTCCATTTCAGCAGAATATAAAGACCAACAAAAGTATGACAATGAAAAAAAAATGAAAATGTGGAGCTTTGTTAAAATAACTACAAAAGAAAATAGAAATTAGGTATCATTTTTCATGTGCCAAGCTGATAATATTGTTAGTCATACCCAGCAATAGAGATGAGCAAAGGGAAGAGTATTCTATCCCATAAGAAGGGATTAAAATTAATAAAATTCTCTAGGAAGAAGCAGTTGGGCATCTGGTATCAAAAGTTGTGAGATTGTATATATCTTCTGTCCCAGTAATTTCATTTCTAGAATTTTATTTGAGAGCAATTACCACACATGCACATAAAGACCAGGAAAACCTGCAAAAAGCATAAAGACTGGAGAGGTGTGGTCCATTTTATGACAGAGTATACAGTAAAAAGCTGTTCTTTCAAAGAATTCTTAAGAATGAGGAAATGCCAAATCCAAACCACAATGAGATACCGCCTCACACGGGTCAGAATGGCTAAAATTAATAGGTCAGGAAACGACAGATGCTGGTGAGGACAAGGAGAAAGGGGAACTCTTACATGGCTGGTGGGAATGCAAACTGGGGCAGTCACTCTGGAAAACAGTTTGGAGATTCCTCAAAAAGGTGACAATAGAGCTACCCTATGACCCAACAATTGCACTACTAGAGATTTACCCAAAGATACCAATGTAGTGATCTGAAGGGGCACCTGCACCCCAGTGTTTATAACAGCAATGTCTACAATAGCCATACTATGGAAAGACCCCAGATGTCCATCAAGAGATGAATGGATAAAGAAGATATGGTATATATACACAATGGAATATTACTCAGCCATCAAATAAATGAAATATTGCCATTTGCAATGATGTGGGTGGAACTAGAGAGTATTATGCTAAGTGAAATAACTCAATCAGAGAAAGACAATTATCACATGATTTCACTCATATGTGGAATTTAAGAAACAAAAACGGAGGGGGTGCCTGAGTGGCTCAGCTGGTTAAGTTCTGCCTTCAGCTCAGGTCATGATCGCAGGGTCCTGGGATCAAGCCCCATGTCAGGCTCTCTGCTTGGCCAGGAGTCTGTTTCTCTCTCTCCACTCATGCTCTCTGGCTCTCTTCTGTCTCACTCTCTCTCAAATAAAGAATGTAAATCTTTAAAAAAGAGAGAGAAAGAGACAAAACAGGAGAATAGGGGAAGGGAGGGGAAAATGAAACAAGACAAATCAGAGGGCAGAGAGGAGACAAACCATAAGAGACTCTTAATCATAGGAAACAAACGGGGTTGCTGGGGAACCGGGTGGGTGCAGGGGAGATGGGGTAATTGCATGATGGACATTAAGGAGTGCATGGGATATAATGAGCCCTGGGTGTTATATAAGACTGAAAAATCACTAAAGTCTACCTCTGAAACTAACAATACACTATATGTTAATTAGCTGAATTTTTAAAAAATAATCAGGAAATGCTTTTGATAACGTTGATTGAAAAAAATGGAAAACTATGTACCATCTCACAAATTTATAATTTATATATGTGCACACATAACTAGAAAAAAAAAAGACTGGGAGGGTATATACAAGAATGTTAGTTCATAGCAGTTATATCTGTGTTATAGGTGTTTCTGTTCCCCAGTCATTTCTCTAATCTTCAGGTGCATTAATTTTGTCCTTGTAAAGAAGAATGAAGGTCATTAGCTTTAAAATAGAGGATAAAACCAGGACGAATTCTCTGCAGAAAGCACTTGCTTCCTGATGGGAAGGCCCATATAAAATGCAAACTATTGGATAAGAATCTTGTTTGAGGCCACATTGTCACTCAGATCGCAGGGTTATTTTCACAAGGGGTCTAATGCCAGGTGAAACCATGCTTTCCCACTCTTGGAGTTTCTCCAGCTTCCCTCGGTCTTCAACTCTCACTTGGTCCTCTCTCCTGCTCTTTCCCACACCCCTAGCGGATTCCCTAAGGGCTACACTTCCAAAGGGCCCGGGCATGCAGGAGCGTCCCCAGCAGAACCTCCCCCCTCAAGTCCCCAGCTTGAAGGCGCCCCTCCGTCCTCGCGTGCCCCGCCCCCGCTCCCTCTCTAGGACGCCTGGGCTGCCGTCAAACTCCAGGTTTGCAAAGAGCACTAGGGAGACCAGACTGGACACAACGGGGCCCCGGTTCAGTTAGAAACACTAAAAGCCACCAGTAGATGTCGCTCGGACTACGGGCCCCAGGACCGTTGCCCCTTGTGATTCGCCGCGTCCCTGCCTGACGGGGAAATGAGGCACGGGCTGGAGTGGGAATCCGGGGCACACCGGGGCCCCGTGTTTCCTCACTCCAAGAAAGAGAAACGAATAACCTCCACTGGGCCCCGTGATCCCACACTTGTTTCCAGAAAGAGATGCAGAGGAGAGGGAAAGGGACGGTGGGAGCGCTTTGCGCCCCAAGCGCTCACCCAGCGCGAGCCGCTGGGAGAAGGAGGCGCAACTCCCGGGCGCTAACCTTTTTGAAAGCACCTGCCAAGCCGAGACATGTTCGACGCCGTCACGGGCCTCGCGTGCCCCCGTCCTACCCCCAGACCCCCTTGCAGGCGGTTAGCAGGTGAGAGGGCCATCCCACCGTCAAAGAACGAGCGGCTGGACGCGGGAGGAGGGTAACAAGGCCGCTACCGTTCTCTCAAGCTAGAGACTCGAGCCGGGCCTCAGGAGGTTCGAGTCGCCTCCGAGGCCAGCGGGGGTGGGGGGTCGTGAGTGGGTGCACCGGGTACTGGCCAGATGTTCGGCGGAGAGCAGCATGTCGTGGGGTGGTCGAGCCCGGGTGGCCTTGGGGACCCGCGCGGGGCAGGGCGCTCACCCTCTCGCGCTCCTTGGCGTTTGCCACGCGGCGCCGCTCCAGCACCAACTGGAGGTCCTCCGTCGAGGAGTAGCCTCCCGAGGGCAGCCGCTTGAGCCGGCAGACGGCGGCCAGCTCAGGCAGCGGCCCGAACTGCTCCCGCAGCAGGTCCTCCAGCACCTCAGCCGGCGGGACGCCCAGGAGAGCCGGCGCGGGCGCTGCGTCCATGGCGGAGGGCCGGAGCGCAGGGGCCCGCGCGGCCTTTCTTCGCCTGCACCTGGGGCCTCACGAGGCACGGGGGCGGAGTCTGGGCCCCCTGTCGCTGTTCTCTTGCTTGCCTCGTGTTAGTCAGGTGGGGCTGTAGGGAAGACTGGCCCTTGGGGATCTGGGTTTCAGCAGCTCCGCAGGTGATTTCGGTGAACACGGGATTCCTGACAACAACTGGTCCTCAAATTTGGCTGCACACCGGAATCACCTGGGGAATTGGGTTATTCTTAATCCGCCCACCTGGGTACCAATCCCCAAAATTCTACTTTGGTCAGTCCAGGTTGGGGACTGCGCTTCTGGATACATGTATACACATGTATGCAAATATATAAATGTACATGTATACATTTACCGGAAAAACTGATGGCTACACACAAAACTTTTAAAAGTTCATTGTGAAATAAATAAAAGTTGCAAGAACAGTAAGAGGTCCTGTAGCCCCTTCACCTAGATTCTCCACTTGTTAACTTTTTTCACATTTACTCCATTGCCCTCCTTGTCTCTCTGAATATTCCCGATTTCATTAATCTTTTACTAAAGTATTTCCTAAGTCTTGCCCCATCTTCATGACCTTGACAGTTTCAAAGAGGAGAAGTCTTCCATTCTGAAGGCCGTCCCTTAACTGGAGTCTGCCCAGGGTTCCCTCCTGTCCAGACCTAGGCCATTCCTTCTTGACTGGGACTCCACAGAAAAGATGCTGGGCTGTCTCCATACATCCCTTCGGGATATACATGATGCTGACCTGTCCCACAACTGGTGAAGTTAACCTTGATCACCCAGTCAAGGTGGTATCTGCCAGGTCCCTTCACCATAAATGGACTATTTTTTCCTTCTGATTGATAAATATTTTGTGAGGAAATCACCGATATCCTCTAGCAACATCCATTGCTGACTCCTGCCTGAATTAACCATCATTTCATGGCCAAGTTGTTGACATTCTGTTGTGGGGAAGAGCTTTTCCTTCTCCCCCGTTTATTTATTCATTTTGTATTTATGTCGGCATGAACTCATGACTTTTTATTTTATTTAATAAGATGTAATTTATTCATATCCCTATTTCAATGTTCAGATGGCCCCGATTTGGCCTGTAGGAGCCCCTTCATGCTAGTTTTTCTGTTCTTTTGACATGGCCCCATCACTTTTTGCGTGCTTTCTTACTTGTCCCCAAAATGCTCATCTTTGATTGTCCCAGTTCAGCCATGGAATCAGTCAGTTCTTTTAGTGGAAAATGAAATTTAGAAACAAAGATTTGGGGGGCACCTGGGTGGCTCACTTGGTTAAGCATCTGCCTTCCGCTCAGATCATGATCTCAGGGCCCTGGGATCAAGTCCCATTTTGGGGCTTCTCCCTCTCCTCTGCCCCGCCCCCCACGCATGGTTGCTCTTTCTATCTGTCTCAAATAAATAAACAAAATCTTTTTTAAAAGAAACAAAGATTTGGATGCTTGGATATTAATTCTTTTTGAAATGCAATCCTTCTAAACCTTTTTAGCAGATAGGAAATATACATATGTACACACACAAGCATACACCCACATACAACTATATATAGATATACATTTCTGTGTAAATAGATTTAAAAAACATGAGTTCACACTAATACCTCCAATTCCAATCCAATTGCTAAGATTTCTCAACGTTTCTCCTTAATTTGTAACTCCCTTCTCTAACAGCTAGAAACCTGACTCCCATTATCCTCAATGTATTTACTTATTTACTCACTTAACTCCATAGCCAGTTTCTTAGCCACATCAGCCACCTCCTCAGGCCCATCTTGTCCTCAGCTCCCCCCATGTCACTGCCTACAAGGGAAGAGCGAGGGAAGAGAAGAGGACACACCAAATGTTTAACTGGGGTTCCCCAAGCAGTGGGCCTTGGAATGAGGCAAGATCTGTGCCTCATATCTTCCATATGTCTTGCATTTTTCACAATAAGCATGGGTCATATATACATATATACACACACACATATATATATACATATTTATATTTATATTTATGTACTTAAGTATGTATTTATGTACTTAAGGAAAATGATTTTGTTTGGTCTAAGTTTATTTGGTGTTGTCTGCTAGCAAACAAGGCAAAAGAGCCAAATGTGTGGAAATAAAGCTTAAAATGGAAATCACTTACCCATTTATTTAAATTTCCTTCAGCATCAAAAAGGACATTATTGATTGCCATTTTCTTTTTTATTCTAAACCCTTGAGTGGGCACACTGGTGTGTAGCAGGAACCCAGTGTGAGAACCACAGAAGTTATTCCTTCATCCTTGCTCCCCTCTGTTAACTCCAACTCTCACTTTCTGGCATCTTGTCTGTTCGATTCCTATATGGAGCCCTCTGTCCTAAGGGAGAGCAACCCTATGAACGAATCTGAACTGAGATGTCACACCTGATGGTGACTTGGTGCCCCTATCTTGCCATTACCCAAAGATGCAATGGCCTAGTGAACAAAAAAAAGTTAATTTTTCTCTCATTTGGTAGTGTGAAAGGTGCAGGTCAGTGATGCCTCTCTGCTCCTCATGATCACCTGGGGCTTAAGCTCCTTCCAGATCATTGCCCCTTCAGCATTGCTCCTGAGCGTCATTTTCAAAAATGGAGCCGTCCTATTAGAGGCCTGTGTCATCTCTGGTGCCCAGAGCATCAAAGGCCTCAGCTCATTCACCCCAGTCAAGATTCAGAGCAGGAGCAGAAACTCTTCTAGGTATTCCAACCAGATGCCAAATGATTTAATTCAGGGATTTAGGCACCTAACGCAATCACTGGGAGGGCTGGTGGAGCGGAGGGGCTCAGTTGGAGAAAATACTACCAAAGCTGCTGTCTGGGGAGCAGGAACCAGTGCTGCTGGGGTTGCCACTCAACTCCCCCACTGCTGGGAAAGGGGACCCAGGGACATTGCTGCACAGAAACGCCAAGTCCCCATCCCTGGGCTTGTCCACAGAAAATAAACAAAAGGACAGGGACGTGAGTTCTGCCTGATGTCCATGCTCACCAGCTCACACACCTGTTTCTAAGGAGGCCATCTTAATTGGCATCCAAAACCCTGGGAATAAGGGGTTCTGGAAAATGGAATTTCAGCCTTCCTGCCTCTACAATGCGGGGAGGCACTCTGGAGGAGGGGAGGAGGGGGAGGGAAGGGATGGGAGAGGAAGTGGGGAATGAGGGAGTTGATTCACTGTGTCCTCCACCCTGAGACACAGAGAAACTAGACAAACTGGCCCTTGCTCCATATTTTGCCCCAGCAGAGTCACCTCATCAGTCTTTCCTGTTTCCTACTCTGGGGCCCAACTAAGAGGAACACTCCCCATATCTGCCTGGGTCCTTGGCAGCCCCTCATCACAATGACCAGTTTGTGGCCCAAATATAGTTCCCTTAATCTCTGTAGCTCAATCAAAACATGAAAGAGCTGCTAAAACAAAACAAAACAAAACAAAACACAAGAACAGCTTTACTAAGGGAAGGCAAAGAATGACATTTTTAAAAGGGATCAAAAACTAAAAAGAGACAAGTCTATATTGCCCAGAATTCCTATCTAAATCAATTTGGCAATTCCATATTATTACTTATAGTAATCTAAATGCATATTATTCTTGCATACTATGTGTTATTTTATCTTACCACGTTCCTGGGAATTGGACTTTCCTCCCATTGTACAGATGAGAAAATCAGGTCCAGAGAAGTTGAGGGACTAGCCAAGGCCACCCTGCTGGTCCGTTTTTCCTCAAGATCTGAATGTCCTCTATCCCGGGGTCACCAGGCCCAGGCCCACAATACCGTCTGACCTGGTCCCCGGGCGACAGGGCCTCCCTGCTTGCCATGCCCCATACTTTACTTCACTTGAGGTTCCTGGCCCTCTGCCCCCACTGGGCATGAGCTGGGGTTACTGTCTTGACCACACCAACAGCAGAGTTAACTGTGGGTCAGAAGTGTTTCTCCACCAAGAACAGAGAAGGGAACAGACGCACAGGCTTTGTCCCCGAGAGGCTGGTGAGAGGTCAGGGACCCAGCTCAAGTGCCAGCATGCCAGCAGCAGCCAATGGCCTCCAGCTTTGACAAGATGCAGAAAGGTGCCTGACAGCCTCCTGAAAGAGTAGATGGATGGAGGCTTGGAGCCCTGCAGACTGTGGGGCCTCATGAAGAGTTGAGACTCATAGGGCCCGAGGATTAGTCGTGGGTCCGAGGGGAAGAGCTGCTGCAACACAGGACTTTGTAGGACCACAGGCAAGACCTTCAAACTCTCTAGGCCTCATCTTGCCAGCTGTAAAGCGGAGATTGTGATAGAAGCTTCCTCAGAATTATAGCGAGGAGTCAAGTAGGCCATTGGCACAAAGATAACAGCTAATGCTATATGATGGGATCCATGTGCTGTGCACTTTTCTAAGCTCATTTTATGGATTAACTTTCCTTTTTTTCTTTTCCAGGAAAAAAGGACATTTTTATTTCCATAAGTACTTCTGCTCTCACTCACACACTGACCCCACTCGGATGCGGACAGATGGATGGGCAGAGGGGAGGCACCCATGGGAGGCCCCGGCAGAGGCTGGCAACTGAAGGAGACGCACTGAGGAACTCCAGGGCAGGGCCTCCCTTGGCCAGGAGCCCTGGAGGCCCCAGCTGTGGCACGAGGCTCTGCCACCACCTCTGGGCCAGCAGCCACAGCCTCCACAGCCCCTCAGGAGCCCTGACGGCAAAGGGGGCAGGTGGGTGGAGTGAAACCCCTATGAGGATTGGGGATTGCGGGGGGCTCCCCCAACTGGGCCTCCTGAGATGGTGACCACAGGGCCACTGAGAAAGAAAAGCAAAGAGTCAAACCACACACGACAGAGTGCAAAGAGCTGGGGGAGCAGGCTTCACCCTCCCCCCAGTCACACAGTTCCTATGAAGAAGGCCTGAGCTGGTTGCCACACCAGCATGGCCCCCCGAGTTATGGCTGGGCCTTCCCATAAGGCATGAGACAGGTGG